AATAAAAAACAGTATTACTGTTTTACTGATCATGTCACAACCGGAAATCACTGGTAATTACAAAGCACAATCTGCCTGATTCAGATTGCCAATTGATGATGTCATTGTGTATTATTGTTGACAGTTTAACCTTAAAAATTGTAAGGGCTACAGAGAATGTACTTTATCGAACCACAACTAACTTTAAGGTAACTTCTTGGAACTATGAATATTCATAAATAATGGAACTGTCATATGATGAAATGGAATGTTCCATAGCTGTCCAATAAGCTAGTTATTTTGTAAATATTTTTTATATACATGTATACCACTTTCAACTTATTGTGACATCTTCAACAGTGACATGTGCAATTCAAACGGTTGACAAAAAAAAAACCCTGTTGGAAAATAATGGGACATTCTAAATTTCCAATCATTCTGCTTTCATGTGCTTTTCGTTAACCTCCATAAACAATGAGCTAATACACAGTGTCATACTAACGAGAAGCCACATGGTGTATCATCCCGAGAACTTTGTGGGAAAGGTCTGCATAGATCTCTGGCAAGCACACAGTGCGTATTAGTTCTGTGCATAGGGTGCTGTTACCAACTGTTTGCTAATGTACAATCCAAAAAGAAATAGGTGTGTGGAGCATTGTTTTAACCTTTCTTTTGGTCAGTGTATCACCTTATGTAAATAAATGAGAAACAGGCAGAGATTATTTAACAGATGATATTTTATTCTATGGTGAATAATGTTTTATGTCAAAAGAGAAAGGATAAAGTACAGGGTCGTTATTGTAAGCTTACTTACAAATCAGAAGATTGTTGTTGTGAATAAAGTGATCTGGGAGGTGTTATTTTTAATTTCTTGCCAATCGGTTATCCATAATTGGGGAAATCGACAAATTCTACCAATTCTGATTGTTGAACCAGTTTTAGGTAAAACAGCATTATATAAAACATTAACTTTAAATAAACACAAAATAATTATTTAAAAACAGGAATAATAATGCAATTTTCATGTTGGTCTCTCTGATATATTTTCCACATCTATTTCATTACTGAATTTCAGCAGACCTAACAAGAAAGGTCAGCCATGGGCTGCTATCATCCCTAAGGTTAAGGAAGAACTTCCTAACCCCAGTGGCTTCTTTGACCTACTGCTGTCTGTACCAACTAGCTCTGCTGAGGTAGAGAGAGGATTCAGCAAAATGAAGATGATCAAGACCAGTTTGAGATATTGTCTGGGAGCTGACGAAATTCTGGTCTTGCTCCACTCGCTTTCAATAACTATCTTTGATCCCATAACAGTTATCCATCCTTGGAACTCGGGCTTACTGCTGGCAGGGTCCAGATTGAGAAACAGGTGCAGGAGAGTGACACAGAAGGGGGGAAAAGGAAGAATCTAAGAAATGGATGTTGGGACATCATTGGACACTGACACTGATGGATACTAGATTTCCTTTCATTATAATTTAATTAGGAAGTGGCACTAATTTATGTTTAACTTGTCACCACCTAAGCCATTTTATAGCTATTTGCATGCTTTTCCATACGTTGCTAATTTGAGAATTTTGCATATTACAAATTCAAATTCATTTATGACTAATTAACAGCTTTTTCAGGTTATGAAAGAACTGATTGCTATAAATTTAGTGGTAATGTAAATTGTATGATTTTTCCATCTCTTCATCAAAAGTGTTTGACATTTTATTGACAAATATGTATCAGCCAGATGGTAATGAGTTATATGGGAACAAGATTAGATTACACTGGCAATGATGCAAAGATTTTATTTCATTATTTATTGTTATTATTGAAGGACACTACTTTAAAGGGGAACAAAGAGTTACTGTTATATAATGCTTTAGACAGAAATTAACGATCATATATGAAACTAGCAGAAATGTCATGCTGTGGGCAGCTGTTTCATCAGGATCTTGGCGAGTTGAACAATGTGCTTCTCTGTCACGAAATTGCTTCTGACTTTCTCTAACTGCATCTTGGCAAGCAATTTGATTTGCTTCTGTATTTTGGGTTTGTTCCTGGTTTTTTCTAACTGGACCTTGCATCATAACTTTGTGAGCAAGGCTATCTCTTTTTTTATTTCTGTAACTTTTACAACCTGACTATTATTTATTGGCACTTGTTTTTAATTGTGTACCTATTTTAACATTGTCTGTTATTTATAATTTTTACAATGTGAAGTTTCCTTTTCTTTTTCAAAGTTTCAGACTTTCACTGTAATAAGTAACTTTTCTCTTTGAAAATTTTTGGAATTGTGATTTTCTGTTTTTCATCACTTTATACTCATATTGAAGATAAAAGAATACTTGTGTAACTTCCTGCAAATTTGTATACAACAAACTCCGTACAAAGGACTTGTGATTCCTTCGGCACGGAACAATTCAATTCATAGCGTACGCTTAGATTCTCCAGCAGGAAAAGTCACTTTTCTTCTGAAATATTGCAATGATTCTCCACTGGGAAGACTCACTTTGAAATTCTGCATTAAACTCACTTTACCACAATTTTAGAAATTTTATTTAACAAATTATTTTCTGGCAATAATCATAAATGTACAAAATTATGTAAAAAATTTGGATACATGCACTAAATATATGTTTTTATATGAGACTTTGTTAGGAACTTTCCCTTATGATTTTGAAAAATTGTGCGCAGTTTCATCCAAATCAGACTTAAACTGTTGGAGGAGTTTTTGTTGACAGACAGGTATTAGCCTCTGGTATATATATATATATATATATATATATATATATATATATAGTAGAGAGAGAGAGAGAGAGAGAGAGTAGTATTATACGTACGAAC